GGGAAATGCACGGGACTATGGTGGTGGCACAGGGGTGATTTGGTGATGGGAAACCCGTGGGGATTACAATTGAGATGAAAAAAAAATGTGCAAAATGATGTAAAAATAAACTTTTTAATAAAAAAAATAAAAAAAAGATGTCTTGCATAATAAATCAACTATAATATGATTAAAAGATGATAATATCCATGGAAAAATTAAATCAGGCTAAGGAACACTGGGGTAGTGTTGAGGTAGGTATGGCAGGTTATGATTTTGAATAAGGTAATCAGTGTGGATGTCTTGATAATGTGGCTTTTGAGCAAATACTTCAAGGGGATGTGAGAGGAAAGGGAACCACACGGTTACAAGAGATAAAGTATCCAAGGGAGGAATTGAAATACAAGGTGGAACTAGGCAGAACTAATGTAGGTAATGGGGGGCTCAGGGTCTATAGCTGAATTATTTTAAGGTCCTTGTGTTACTGGGAGAAGAGCATGGCCTATTGAGTAAATCTTGACTTAAAGTGGTACATACCTGTAGAAAATTTAAGAATAACTATTAGAAGAAAGCATAATAACAAACCAGTGGAGGGAAACTGACAAGTGAAGGATATTTAATCAACCCAGTAGAAGTCAAGAAATCAGAAAGAATTTTTATTTTTTATTTATTATAGATGTACTTGAAATTATGATTATTTTTAAATCAGAGCATTAGCTGCAATTCATGAGGTTACAATCGTTACAATATTTCATATTTTCTATTATGACTTATTCTTTGACCTATCGAATATGTTGCTAAATTTCTCTAAAAGGAATTTTCAAGCCAAATTTTTGTTATTCCCCAAATTTTATTAGATATGTGGTTAGAAAATATGAACTATGTGTTATAAAGTCTTGCCATTGGAACACAGGAGAAAAAGTAGATAAAATAGAGTCAAGAGGTATCCACATAAACAGCTGGCATGTAACAGAGGAGGCTTTTCTGTGAGTTAGTTAACAATGGATTGTTCAAAAAATATTCTCATATAATTACTTACCGCTGTGGAAGAATATGAGATACACTCTTCTTTTTCCTTACATAAAAGTAAATTCCGTGTTAAGACTTAAATGTGAAAAAAACATCTATAGAAAAGGAACATATTTCCATGTTCTCAATTTGTTTCTATATGTGTATATATACACATATCAAATTATTTAACATTTAACCATGTGTTTAATTTTTTTCTCCCTCCAGACTTCAGCCTGGGAACGGAATACCCAATAACGCACTATAAAATATGCTAAATGGAATTTATTTAAATGAAGAATAAACCCCCGTGATCCGGGCCAGGCGTTGGCTCTCTCCTGCGCCGGAGAATCGGATGAGTGAGTTCGTTCCAGTATCCCGCCGGGATTTAGAGGCGCTGCGGAGCGGCTTCAGGGCTTCTCCCGCGGCTACTGAGGTTCGTCCACCCGCGGCTTCGGGTGAGTGATTGCGCTCGCGCGGCGGTCTCTGCGGCGGCTTAGGCGGGGAGCGCGGAGGACTGGCGCCTGAAGTTTAGGGGTCGGGAGCTGACGTGGACGGAGCGAAAGACTAGGCCCAACGACCTGCTGGTTGAGGAGCTTTACAGGCTCTGAGAGGAGGTGTTTTTTTCCCCCCTTTTCTGGGAATTGAGTCGCTTTCGTGCCCTTGCGCGGTGGCTGCTGTTGCTAGGCAACCTGAGGACGCCGGTGTGAATTGTGGAGTCTTTCTTTGCCCGGTTCTGTCCTCTTTCGGCTCGTTTTGTTTGAAGTTGTATGGAGAAGGTTCTCGGTGGTTGCACTCTAGCTTATGCTTTTTCAGCTCTTCCACTCTGGTTCTGGGTTTTACCCAGCTGGGGCGGCTAGCTACGGTGATTATCTTTGTGTCCCACCTCGACGGGTGAGTCGGATCTGGGTGAATCCCAGATAGGGAGAGGGCGGCGCGTCGCTCCTTCTGGCAAGTTTTGCAGATACCCTGAAGTATGATCACAACTTTGAGGTAAGTGATACGGGGTAATTCCTTTGCGTTGTTTGAAATGAGAAGTGATTCTAAGTAACTGTAAGGCGAATTAGACGGTGCCCCTTATCCCTACTCCCCCCCCCCCATACTTAAATACTAAATTGTACCACAAATCATTTTCCCTCTCCTTGATTTTGGGTTAGGTTTGGTCAATTTACTCTTTTATTTAAGTTATATTCTGATTTTGTGTAAGCAACATGATGGCTATTAATACTGCTCACCGGAGAGGTGGTCGTTAAAATTGGAGATAATCGTCCTTTAAAATGAGAGAAATGGGCGATGAGTTCATTTACCTTGGTTGTATCAAAAATATGGCAAGACTTGGCTCAGTTAGTGAACAGCGTTCATTATCTGCTAGAACTAACATCTTGTAACTTGCGGCCGGCTATTGCGTGAGGTCAGCAATTTATATGCGGTGGAGTTCTGAAATAACATCATCAGAATTGAGTGGAATTTGCTTATTTAACAAGTGTTTATTAAATCCCTATTTACTTTATAGGCTTTCTGCTAAGTGCTTAGAGGTTGGACAAGCGAAACCAGGGGTTCTTGCCTTTATGAGATGTGGTGGTACAGAATCATAACCATTGAATATCGTTCTTGATTTGAGTACTTTCATTAGTTGTTTGAAGACAAAATTTAAATGTGATCATGTCCATTCTTTGGTGTAGAGAAGTGAAACTAATCAGAACGTGTTTAAAATGTGTACAGGTATTTAACTTATTTATTGAATAAATAAATATTACTAATCTGGTATATTAAGGAGATGAAATACCGATTTTTATGGGCTATTAGGGACATGAAGTAAATGGTGTTGGCTGCCATGCCTGTGTATGTACAGGAACTAGGAGGACTTGGATATTTGAGAGTTTAACTTTTGCTGTTGTTATGGTTTGCACATAAATTATGGTTTTAAGTGACTGATCGTGATTTGTAATAGCTGTCATAGTTGCTATAAAGTGTACTTAATTGTGTTGCTGAAGTGTGGAGATCACTTAGCTGATTGCTCAGCATTCATTTGTGTCTCCAGCTTGGGTTTGCTCGCTGACCACTCCTCATGGCAAAAAAGCATGTGATAAATGTGATAAATCCTTCCTCCCCACCAAACGGATAAGAACTGTGAAAAGTTTCTTCTTTGTGAACGATATCTATGAAAATAATCCCTGTGCTTGAACTAAAGGTGTATATTCAAACTTAGTAAATTGTGCTGACTTTAGAATATGTCTGTTGAGAAGTTGGTTGGTAAGACTTGACTACTCCTCCTATAAGAATTCCAAGTGTAGGGCATGGGACTTTTAGGGGAGAGAGCTATGAAAATGGATGAAGGGAGCCATATAAATAAGCTAATAAGAAACTGGGACTCTTTCAGGTAAGAGAATTTCATTGGGCCTTTTAATAATAAGGATGATGATGGCTACCGGTATTGCTTAACCATTTTCCACATAAGAGGATGAAAAGGTATCAACATTAAACTGATTTTACATATAGCTTAGAAAGAGTCAGTTACCCAACCAAGCATTTTGGGAAAGCATCAGAAATGAGGATTTTAAGTCAGTTTGAGTGATTCCAGGCTTGCATTATGGCATGCTATCTTAATATAAAAACAAAACAAAAACATCTTACTATTAGAATAAATGCAAGTCTATAATAGAAAAAGGAAATGTGAGTGAAATATAAAAATGTATCCTTGGTTACATAAGGTTGAAGTATAAGATACATAAAATTTGGATGACAGAAATATTTATGTGATTTTTATTTTAGCATCCACTTGCAAACCTTTTTACCCATCATCCCATAATTACTAATCAGAACATTCACTCCATTTTATTCTTTGCATATAAAGAATGCTCTTTATTAAAAACATCTTCATTGGCCTCTTCTGGTAAAATCAAGACTCAAAGGAAGAGTAAAGAAAATACAGGTACCTCATTTTTTTGTGAGGGAAGAGATAATATGCATTAGTTTCCTGTTGCCACTGTAAAATATTACCACAGATGTGTTACCTTAAGCCAAAATTGACTATTTTACTGTTCTGGAGATCTCTAGATGGCTAGAATCTAGATGTCCATAGGTCTGGTTCTTTCTCAAGGCTCAGGAGGAGAATCCATTCCTTGTTTCTTCTTGAGACTTCTAGAGATTGCTCATGGCTTCTCCATCTGTATACAAAGCTAACTGGGAACATCTTTGCTCCTTTGTGACCTATGCATCCATTCTTACATCTCTTCTTTTTCATTCTAACCAGCCTGTCTCCTTTTTGTAATAACTCTCTAGTGGTTACACTGGGTTTACCAGTTAAGCCCAGTTAACCACCACATGTTCAAATCCATACTCTAATCACATCCATACATTTTTTTTTTTTTTGTAGTATTCACAGAGTCCAGAGATTGGGGCATGGGAATCTTCAGGGAATCTTTATCCATACTTGTATTTGTCCTATAAATATTATTTCACATAATGCCATTGCCCTGTAAAAAAGTTGTTTTGGTGAAAGATTTGTAACCATGTGTTTTCTTTTATGTATTATTATTGTTATATAATTTGTATGATATATAAATTAGAGTAAGAATTATTTCATATGTCTTTTACCTTTTTCAAAGTATACTGCCAAAAACATACATGAATTTGAATGGATTTAGAGGTTAAGGGAGTTGCTGCTTCTCTTACAAGTCCAACACAGCCATTCTCTGGGAACAAGAAGTCACTACAAGTATGTATGCTATATCATTTTCCTCTTCGATGTGATCCATTAATTGATTTCTTTCTTCATGGCCATTTATGCTCACAAATATTTACAATCAATATTTTCTAGAGTTGAAAATTTCAACATCAACACTGAAAATGACTTCATTTCTTTAAAACTGCCCACTGCTCTGAGTGGTTTTCTTTTTCAAAATTAAACCACTCATTATTGTTTTCATATAAAAAAATCTTCATAAAACATAAAAAATAAAAACCACAGTAGAAAAAGTCAATATATATTTTGTCTTAGCTAGATAGGGAAAGAATAGGGGCTTTTATTAAGACTTTTATTCTCACTCTTCATAATATCACTGTTGAATCATTGACTTAGTTAAGTGTGAGTTTAAAACTACTGTGTCCTATTACCTACCACATATTGAATAAATATAAAATTTAGATTAGAAATTCATTATAGTGATGTGTATTTCCTTGTTGTTCGATTCCAAATGTTAAATACCTACTGCTTGTAATCATGTTTCTATAATTTTTATCATTTAATTCTTAATGATACCTCTTTGGAGTAGGCTTTAACATGATTTTCCATGTGGGACAAATGAAGCTTCTAGAGAGTAAGTGGCTTTAAGATCTGTGCTTTTTATTCTGCTCTTAGCTGTCTCCCAATAGGAATGAGTTAGTGTTTTAGGATTCTTATGGTTCATAAGATTATGGATTAAATTTGAATTATTTGATAATTTGAACAAAGCAATCATTTTTGTTAGTCAAAGTATTAAGTACAGCTTCTCTCAGGGTTTGTTTGGTTACCATATTACAGAGTCTTTAACTTTAATAGATACATATGTTTTGTCAGCATTGATTCTTTGCTTTCTTTTAATGTGTAAGTGAAGGGCATATGCATACTGATTCTTATCTTTTACAACTTTATTTAAAGGAAGGATGGAATTCCAGGTCATGGTCCTTCCACGATCCTTGTCCACCTGTGTAAGTCACATTACTTCATATTAGAGCTGTTTAATGGTCACACATTTATAATATATTGACCAGTAAACAAAGTAAGATTATCTTACTCTCAATCTACATATATATGTATACACACGCACACATACAACATATAAGTAATCTTTAGAATATAGATAATAGTGAAGTCCAGCAAAACAACATGTATGTATGTGCATGCATTAACATACATACATGTTTATGCTGGTGTGTGATGAGAGCAAGCGTGAGTCTGTGCTTGTACTGTCTTTGTGAACCATGGAAAAATCTGTATGCATGTGAATGACCTGAGGATATTTATGTCAAAATTAAAGTGGCTCTTATGGTAGGATGGAAAAATTAAAGTTAATACTTCTCATTTCATATTGTCTTTAATATTATTTGTAGATTTTATTTAAAAATAAAATATTGCCTTATTTATAACATTCAGGTAAATGCATTTATTAAAGAAATAGGTAGTACTTTTCCTTTTAGAAGTGGAATAGTTAAAATGAATTTTATGGTAAATAAATCTGTGCTTGAATCTCGAATATCCCAATGTTATCAATATTAGTATGTTTTATATTTAACATTTTTTGCATTTTAAAATTGGGAAGGATTTTTTTTTATTCTTTCATGTATAGTATACCACAGTTCTTCTTCGGAAATAGGAACTAAAAAGTGATTTGCTGGTCTGAGCCAATTGACATTTTTATAGAATAAGAATGGGCAAATATTAGCAATTTCATGTGTTGACATAGAGCTGTATTGATGCTTACTTAGACAGAGAGTGAGGTGCTAGTGCAAGATACAAGATATTGCATTGTAAGACAGTTTTATACTGGTAAATGTTTATTTAACATCTATTTTTCTGAAAGTACACTATAAATTTTACTTATTATAAGTAAATCTAATTTTTAAGTTGATTACAAATTTTACTATTATAAAGGTTGTGTAGCAAGCAGTTTATAAATACTGATAAAATATATTTCATACTTCACTCTTAATTGTAAATTTCATATAGCCAATAGATACATACAGAATATTTTCTTTGTTTTAACTATACTCTTCTATCTATAGCCAACCTATGATTGCAATTGATGAACCAGTATAGTTGTAACTGGAATATTGGTAGAAATTTACATTTATTGCGGAGCAATGTGAGTGATTTCTTTGCTGAATCAAATAATAATTTTGAACACTGGAACCAATACTTTCCCAGTTCTTTTGTTATTTACAAGGTGACATTTACAGACATGACACACCTTTAAATTTAATCTGCACTATTAATGTTTTCTCTTTCACATTTTTAAGTCTCAGGAACCAACTAAATAATGAATCAAATCTTGATTTATAACATTTGCCAATCTCTGTGTAGATACTTCCACCATTGCTGACTTTAAGCAATATGTAAATATCCCTGAACACTGAGTTGGAAAGAAATGCTTATCATTATATTACAGCATAATTACATATAATTAAGTATTCGTAATTAGGTAAGATAGGTATAAATAACTTTTAGAATACAGATAGCAGTACATTAAAATCGTTAGGAAATGTAAAGTTTTGAGTATTTATTAACTTTGTTTTTAATATAATTTATCTAGTCTTATCTAAGTTTGTTTTAATAATGTTAACAGGCAGCTCAAAAAATTGCTGAAAGTTTAACAAAAGATATATATTAAGATATAGAATGTAAGGTTTATAACAATTAAAGTTACCTTTTTTAAAGTTATGGAATGCCTAGATTATTTCTTCCAGGGTCCCACCACTTGATTTGGGAAGCCTTGTTGACTCTGATGATGAGGTAATTTTTAGTATCTGGTATTTAACATAGCAAACACTTGAATACATTATTACATGTAGCATATAAGAAGTAGCATTTAATTTCATTTTTAAGATGATATTTTACATATTCCATCTAGTACAAAGCATATTTATTTTAACCCACTAACTTCGTCTTCTACTTTTGGTTGGGTTACACCATGTCAGATACCATTTACTCAGCATCATTTCAGTGAACTGATTAGTGTTTATTTATTACCTATTTACAGAATTTTAGTGGCACTTCAGCACTAAATTTTATCCAGAAGTTTCATTATGTTCAGTCTGTTTTATCCAGCTTAAGTGTTATATGTATTGATACCCCAAACAATAATGTTGGTAAAATAATTTACTTTGTTTTACATTTCTTTTCTCATGCAAAAGTGGTATTCTAAAACTTTTCTTATAAAATTGGGAGAGGTTTATTCTAATAAGGAATCTAGGAATTTGAAAAATATGGTAGAATATAAAATAATATTTTACTAGTTTAACAGTATCAGATTATATCTTAGAAAATGACTCATTCTTAAGGTTACTAAGATCCTAGAGATGTAGTTAGGATGTATACTTACTCTAAGGTGTCCTCTTCAGACATATTTATGTTTCAGACAATATTTAGTGTTTTCATTTCATAAGCAGAAGATCTGACCAGTAATCTTATATATATGGCTTGCTTTTCTGTATTTTCAGTCTTTCTCCTACAGCTGACTAAACTCTTCAGTATCATTTTTGATAAATTATATTGATGGTACTCTAATCTGTATCATGCTACAGTTTTCACCCTGGTCCTTTGCCCCATCCTTCTCCTCTGGGTCAGATTGGATATTATCAATACCTTTCAAGGACTATATTGGCTTTATATTCCTCTTGGAGTGATTGTCCCTCTTTGGGACAGCCTTAGTATCTATTAGTGGATTTTTTCTTATCCACTAACTAAATTATTTCTCACTTCTATGGAAATGTGGCAGGGAACCAAATAATATCAGAAGGTAGAAGATCTCAATGTTCTGGAAATGGCAATCAGTGCATCTCCGTAGTAGTGGCCTCCAGTTCCTATGATGATTCCAGAAAAAAATAATTGACAATGAACTTTTATACGCAGGACAAATGGCTTATCTAAAATCCCTAAGAAGAAAGAAAAATCTTTTTTTCTTTTCCTCGCAGATTATTTTAGCATCAGGACTAATCTTCAGCTGGGATAAAGAGATGCAGACTAATTGGCACTTAGGGCCAGTGTCTACTCTGAGTAGCTTTGCCTGCTCTGATCACTCAGTAATTCTGTGCTGGCTTAATGTTTTCAAAATCACTTCTGTTTAGAATATAGATTAGAATAGTCTGTTTCATTAGGCATAAATACAAAGGTAACCCTGTTAATATTAATAAGGAAAATTAGTAATTACTTTGACTTTTTTTTCTGATGAATAGCATTTTCTTTTTTCTTTTTATCCTAGGAACGGGATGTAATACCTGAAAATTTACCAGCACCAACAGAAAAATATAAACTAAAATATCAGCAATACAAAACTGAAATGATAGAGGGGCTTAAGCAGGGTAGTCAAAGAAGTGCAGAAAAGGCAAAACCAAATCTCACACATCAACAGTCTCTAAGTGACAAGATAGATAATGAGGTAATATATGAGACTTTGTAGAATTCTAATAAAATGTTTAAAAAGTACACTTATTATAGAAATATCTATTAATCTGTTCTCTTGCTGTTAGTGATAATAAGTAACTTTTATTTCTATATACTAGGTTCTATTTTAAGTGTTTTACTTACATTAATTAATTTATTCATTCAGAGAATGTCAATGACATTTAATAGGTCGTTAAAGTAAAATTTTGATTTTTTTGAGGACATCTGCTTGTTACTTTTGGTTTAAAAAAGGATCACATTGCTTGCAAATCTTCCTGTAGGATTAGTAAATAATAACTTGGTATGAACAAAGGATTTTATATATAAAAGCCAATATTTACATGTTGAAAAGAATCTGTTTTGTATCCTTGATTATTTAATCTACATTTAAATGTACAAAATTTTGTTTAATATATTCTTAGTAATGTCAAAAAGCTCTAGTTTCTCTACTTACCATTTATGGTAATATTGTACTTACTGAGCTTCAGCAACTTATTTGATGTCTTTTTAGATATGTACCATTGAGAGAAACACATACCATTATGAGTTATGTGCTCTTATTAAATCCTGTTACAATTGCATGAATTGCTACTGGATAGTAATCTGAAAGCAAAGATGTGCACGATGTGAGAAATTGAAATCCCTCTCTTAAGTAAGGGCAATATGAAAATTGATTCTCTTTAAAGACATATTCAGAAATAAACTTGGTGCTTTACCTCTTTGGGAACTCAGCAGATCTAATACTCTTCTGAATTTTAATTTATAAGGGATTGAGTATGCCCATATTTATTAACTTTACAAAGACTTAACATGGACAGCAATAGCTATAATAGCTACAGCCTTTTATTTAATACTTCGGTATGTTAGGTAGGTTTTTAAGAGTTGGACATGTATCTTCTCTTTTAATCTTTTTGGTATGTACTTTAGTTGCTGTTATTGATTCCCATTTTATCAGTGAGTAAATTAAAACTCAGAGAGATGCTCTAGCTGGAGCTGGAAGGGCTGGATTCAAACACAGGCACCTGTTCATCAGCTTGTACTTGTAACCCTTGCAAAAATGATCATTGACATGTCAGGTAGTTATTTAATCCCTTATTTTGTTAAAAACAAATACTTTAAATCTATGTCTGTTTCACTTATTGCTCTCATGTATAGTGTGTGCAGGGTGAAGGAGCCATCACCGATGATCTTACAAGTCTGGATAGGAAAGTGCTCTTACAGCAGGGTTATGCAGAGAGTCCTTACAATACAAAGCATAGTACAAGAAAATCTCAAGCTGTAAGTTACCAATGTTTTTTATCTATTTGGCATATTGTTAAGATAATTTGTCTTCCAAGGTTTTACAGACATATAATAGAAGAAATAATTTGCAACATTTGAATTTGGACTGAGGTCAATATTAAGGGGTAACCGAGTTCTTATTTTCTATATTATAGTTCAGTACTTTATTAGTTCCAGTATTTCTGAATTCACTCTCTTGTACATTTTACTTTACTATGTAGTGCTCATTCATTAATTTCTTTTCAAGAAAATATTTACGTGAGTAAACACAGAATGAATGCATCTGAAATTAGTTCTAATTTATTTTTAAGTTGTAGGTAAAGCACTTTTAATTTAATGTTTAGCTACTTAAAAGAACCACAGAAGCACTGAACTCTTGGTTTTTATATAATTTCTTCTAGTTTGTTATTGTTTAAAGTTACCCGATCCTTTACATCAGTGACTTGTGCTTTTTCTCCTCTTTGTGCTTACACAGGACTTCTAATCAGTGTGCCTGAGCATGGCTCTAACCTTTCCTACAAAGTAAAAACCACAATAAATGTTAGCACTCAAGGTAGACTTTCTGCTGGACTCTGATTTTCATTAATCTTACCCCTTTGCTTCTGTGTTTTGCATTTATATTCTGGCTGACGTGGATCTATTTATAAATTCTATTCCTATTTATAAACTCATATTTTAATCCATCCATTTTCTGAGTCACTCTTATATAAAACTGTTCTTTGCTTTACCTTTATAGTTGTGTGAGTTACACATTTTTTTCTAACTTTTTAACGGCTGTTCTATTACTAACAAAAAATAATTATAAAGTATCATAAACTTAGAGAACGCAAGATAGTTATATATTAAATGATATTAACTGTGTATGAGGTATATTTGGATTACTATCAATTGTAGTTTATGTATACATCTTAAACTACCAAATACACACACACATATATATTAAAATAGGGTGTATTAGGATTATTATAAACTATTGACCGTATAAATTATACATCTTAAATTTTTGCCAAACCAGAAAAACTAAACTCAGTTACAGACTAACATTTAACGTGCCCAACATTGCAAGATTTCCCTTTAGTCTTTATGCTATGCCTTTAGACACTGCTATTTGAATTTTGTGTCAGTTTTGAATAGAGCACTCTTCCTAAGATTACAGAGCCTCTATCTTAAGCAATATTATCTTATTTGGTTTTATTTATTAGAATGAACAGGGGGACGATTGCAATGCATACATTCTGAAAATAGACTAAGCTTTGTTTTTTTGATTGTTCATTTTTTAAACCTCTTTTATTTATCCTTCACGGATGTATACTGTGGCACTTGGTCTGTTGGCTACACATTTTTTTAGTTTCCTATCACCTAAAATGTGAAAATATATTTTTGGATAAGCTGGAAAAGATAGTATCATTTAAGTTAAATTAAACCAATAATTGAACAAAGTTGAGGTATTATTAATGAATTATATACACAGAAAAGACCATCATTCTTTAGTGATGGGAAACTTTTTAAAAGGTTTTGATTCAAATTCAGTGTTAGCCTCAACTTTTCCATTTGTGTTGGTGCTTGTTTGGAGCCAGATAAGATGCCTTTTGCTTCTCTCAGGGGGAGGATGTCATATCTTCCTTTACTGTGGCTCTAAAAAATGCGAGGCAGCATGGAAGTATTAGATGCTTTTAATTTAAAGTTAACTGCTTGACTTTTTAAGAAATAAGTGTATTTTTAGATTAAGTAAGTGTAATTTAAATTATCAGTGATGGATTTTGTAATATACATATATATTAAAGAAATAGGAAATGTTTTAAGTTATGTTTTAGGATTCTTAAGTTAACTGTTATACTGTTTTGCTTTGTGGACAATGGAATTTCCCCAGGAAATTGTGGCTGCAGAGAAGAAGAAACAGACTGTTGCAGAGCAAGTAATGATAGACTACTTATCTAGGTGAGAGGTAGTAACTGATATGAGAAATTCATTCTAAAAATTTGCATTCCATTCTTTTTTAGACATGACATCCATGTCCTTGGCCATGAGCAAATGACTTAGTTTACCAAACTTTCTTGTTCCCTGCAGAGTGACCTCTTTCAGACCAATAGAAATATCTAATAGCGCTATTTATTAAGTGTTTTTATCTGAAAAACTTAGTGTTTACTTCCTAGTAATGATCATTTGGAAAACTCATATAAATAAGTTGAAAGATTTTTTTTTTAATTTCACCCTTAAATACTTAAATAGCCACAGTTCCTTAATAGTGATTTTCACATGGCATTTGTATTTTTTCATCGCAGGTGTAGAAAACCGGTTTTGCAAAGCGGTGACATCATTGAAGGTGGATAGTATAATCTCTTGTTGGTCTCATGAATGATCTTGAGTCATTAGTGTTCATGGTATCCAACAAAAACTGAGTGTCACCATGTTTCCCTCAAAATTAAAAATATCCTACAATGTCTCTGTGAGTTCCTAGCAACACACAGTATACAGTTTGAGAAGTGTGAGACTATCAGGATTTTAAAAAGCCACATCTACAGTTTCTAACCTTTAAATTACTCTGTGAAATTTTAGTACCTGCAGTACTCAATTGCATGACTGTTTCAGAAGAGGCTGAAATAGTCTAGGGAGTCTTTGGGAGATACTTAAGGTGAGCTTTGAAAAAAAGTATTGTATAGTTAGGGGACAGAGAGAGTGATATTTGTATGCACTTGTTTGGTTTGTCTGTTTGTGTTTCAGTAAATTGCTTGAGATTTATGTTTACTATCTCAAAAATATCTCCTCCTGTTATCTCACTTTAGGTTTTTACTCCATCATCCCACCAAACATATCTCTTAGTACGATAACTAGTGACATCCATATTGCTAGGCTAATGGCTATTTCTCTTTTCCCATTTTCTTGACCCACTGGCAACATGTGTATGGCTGAACACTTTCTTATTATTTCTTCCACTTGTCTTCTTACACACCACACTCGGTGACTTTTGCCCACTTTCTACTCCTCATTCTCTTCTGGTTCATTTTCATGTCCCCAGGGTTCAATTCTTGACAGTCTTGAGGACTGTCTTTCAAATCCTGTGTACATTGGGCTAGCAAATACTTTAATTCTGCCATCAAAATGATTCTACTCTCTCTACTGCCACCATCCCTGTTCACACTGTCATCTTCTGTCCCAAGATTATTTTACTGTCTTTTTATGTGGTCTCTTTCTGACTGCATTTGCCCCTCATTTGTCTAGCCTCAATCTAGAAGCCAGAGTGGGCCATTAAAAGGCAAGCCAGTAATTCTCCATCTTTTTTTTTTTTTTTAAAGTTTTATTTATTTTGTGCATACAGAACTGGGGTACAGGCCAGAGGCTCAGGGACGGTGAGAAGCTTCACCAGAGACAGAGTGGGGAGCAGAACAGGCAGATCTACGAAGTACACTGCTGAGGGAAGCAGTGGGCGGGCCAGGAGAGGTCTGGCTCGCCATGTGGTCTCCTCCGGGCAGGCGGCAGGCGGGAATCGAACTCATGCGGAAGTGGCTTCAGATTCTCAGTGCTGTGCTTTAACCCGCTGCGCCACCAGGGAGGGCCGTAATTCTCCATCTTAACCAGCATAAAATCTAATAGACCTATATATTGCTCATGTGTCGATACGAAACTTGGTAGCTGAAAACAGCAGTTATTATTTGTAGCTTAAGTATCATCAGGTCAGCTGTCTAGCCTGACTTGAATGGGTGGTTTCTGCTTTTAATTTACTTTGACATTCATATATGAGCAAAAGCAATGGCTTCCATTTTGAGCTTAGACCTTAAGAAACTGCATGAGTTCCCATTTGCCTATTTGTGCTTTCACCATCTTTGTGAGAATGCAGCTTGACCAACCCACTGATCTCAAAAAAAGGGATGCATCTACAAATGCTGCTGGGCCACTTAGCCAAAAGTTATCCCAGATTAATAGATCCCTCGCCAGCCACTTATGTAAGTTAGTTCTACTCAGATCAGCAGAGCCATCAGCTATAGGTAATTTGTCAAAGCAAGTCAAATGGCTAAATTCAAAGCCAAAGGGTGAGAAGTTACACTGTACCTATAGTGAGGCAGTTAGTATATGACTAAAGGCTACCTAGGACCCTGAAACTGTTAGGGATACATGCTCTAAAGGGGGGTTAGTCTTCCGTGTGCACAAAGACAGAGGGACCAGACTTAGTGTGAAAGAATTGGTGTGCAAGGAGAAATAGAGGAAAAATTCCAAATAAGTTTCCCAATAAATTTCAAAAAATTTCAATTCCTCATGGGTAATTATCAAGTCAAAAAGGCTCACTTGTAAGTGGGGCCACTGAGAGCTGTAAGCTTGGTGGAAGTCTTAGGTACCTTCAAGCAGGTGTTGTAGGAACAGTATGTCCTGAATGAACTCTACTCACTGTTGTTTTGTGAATTCCCCTTTTATCTCCATGCCAAAGAGATCTCAGGAGCTGAGGATTACTATTCCCATGATTCAATCTGCCATGATTCTGACTTCCTGCAGGTGGTGTTCTTGGGAATTAAGGGTGGACTTGCACTCTTGCTTTTCCTGCTTTCTGCTTGTACCAGTAAGACATGCCAACCCATTAATCTCTTTTTTCTCTGGGAGAAACCCACCTGTCTTCAGTTTTATACGAATCATGGCTCCTTAACTCCACCTGTAGTTCCCAGCAACTCCCCTTCAGGAGGTCAGAATCTTGGTAGGTTCATGGCATTATGGGAGTTGTAGTCCTCACCTCCTGAAATCTCTTTGGCATGGAAGTGGAGGTGGAGTCAATAAAACAAAACAATAGTAGGTGGACTTATTCAGGACATACTCTTCCTCCAACACAAGGAATCACAAGAAAGGATTTAGGCATATCCCAGAAAGCTGGGATAGGAGAGACTCAAAATTAAAAATATATCAGGCTAATGATATACATCAGGATAATGGCTGCCATTGTCCCTGCCAAGGACCAAGATGAGCTTTCCATATGTCTTTCATCCACATGCCTCTCCTAAGTGTCTCTACCTGTCTCCTCTACATGTTTCCTTGTATGTGTCTCCTTCCAGCAGTACCAGGGTGCAAGGCAAAGTCAGAGAAACCAAAGAGAGCATGCACGTGTTCAGTTACATATCAAGAATGGCTACTTAACTCCACTCCTAGTCCCCAGCAGCCCCCCTTTTAAGAAATCAGGTTTATGTCCTGTTGGGAATTAGGATTTTTGATAAGCTTGAGATCTCTGGCATGGAGATAAGGGTGGGGCTCATAAAATCATCAGAGGATGGAGTTCATTCAGGATGTCATTTGCTGTCTCAGAGTTTGCTCCTTATTGTTCCTCAAACAAGGCAAGGATGTGGATGGGGTAATGAACAATTGGGGTTCATAATATAGTCTCTCCAAGCCCTATCTGATCAGTCTACCTAAGATACTTATCTACCTGCCTTTAAGCCTAGGATATTTGTTCCTGTTTTTCGTTTATCTACTCTTCCCTAGCTATTCTCTTATCTATTCTCCCCTAGGAAGCTATTCAGCTTCCTTCCTTCTCTGAAACATACCAGGCTCACTCCTGTTTTAAGTGCTGGACATTTAAGTTCCTTCTGCAAGGAATGCTTTTTCCTCAGAAATCCATATGGCTGCTTACTTTGCTTCATGTTTTATTTAGCTATCACCAGTGCAGTATGTATTTGTTTAAAAAATAATAAAAGAAAGATATGAAGCTCTGAGTTCTTTTAAAAATTTTCAACTAAACATAATAAAAGAAAGAAATAAATAGGAATACCTACTTTTTATGGCTAGTATTTTTTATTGATTAAGTTTATTCATTCAATATCTGACAAAAAGAAGATTCTGATAGTAGTGTAAATTTGCTTTTGTAGTTGAGCATTTCCAAATGGTTATAGTGTGTGAATGCTAGAGCAATGCATTGGACATTTAATTGGCAAACTTTGTATTTTCCTGTATAGGGCTGTAATCAGTGATCCAGAACAAGATTTAATCACTGAGAAACAAGAAAGTGATTGTATTCTTCCAGATTCAAAAATAGCGCCTCTTCGTTTTAGGAAAAGAACTCTACACGAAACAAAGTAAGAAGGTTTTACTTATATAAAATGAAGGTATTATGCATGTGTTTTAAAAATGTATGTTTAGGTATAACTGGAAATTTTTCTACTTGATTTTTCTTTTTTTCTAGATAAAGGGAAGTGGAAATTTGGGGGTTCAAATACTAGTTCTGTGAGTTTAAGATTTTGGAACAATGCTTGTTTTTCTGATTTTCTATTGGTTATTTCCAAATAACAGCCACAATTAGGAAATAATATATATGAAAATGTCTAATTGAGTAACTGGGACATGTGTTTGTATGCAATATGTATTGGTTGCCTCACTGATATATTCATTATTAATATTGGTTAGAAGTTATTATTTGCATTTTACTTTTTAGCTTGTAAAATCTCTGAGTTGCTATAAACTTTCATGGTCTCTGGTAAATTTTTCAGTAACTTCACTGATAGTTGACATTTTGCCTTAGCCATGATAGACAGAAAATCCTTTAGTTTCTGCTGTACTTTTTTCTATTTTCAGATTTATGTAATTATTAGACAGTACTTATAACTTTCACCTTTTTGCCTCCATATTTTCTGTAAATATTTGAAATTATCATGTGTTAATTTTCTATTCTTACTGTAACAAATTACCATAAACAGTATTTTAAAATAACACAGATTTATTCTGTTGTAATCCTGAAGGTCAAAAGTCCAAGATGTTGACAATACTGGATTCCTTGTGTAGTCTTTGGGGAGAACCCATTTCTTTACTTTTCTCAGCCTATAGATTATAACTTTATTCCATGCTCATAACGTTTACTCCATCTTGAGAGCCAGCAATGGCTAGTTTAGTCTTTCTCTGGACTTTTCTCTGACATTTCTCTCCTGCAATCACATGGCCTGTGCTTTCCTTCATAAATATACTTGTGACTGCATTGAACCTACCTGGATAATCTTGAGTATTTCATCATCTCAGATCCTTAGCTTAATTCACCATACAAAGTCCCTTTGTCATGTAAGCTAACATTTTTCCATGTTCTGAGGATTAGTTTAGGAACAACTTTGGGGGACCATCATTCAGCTGTGACATATCTAAACTTCTCTTTTATTTATTTATTTGTTTATTTATTTTCAAAGATATATGAAATTATGTATACAGAACAGGCCAGAGGTGCAGGGGCAGTGAGAAGATTCACCAGAGACAGAATGGGGAGCGGAACAGGCAGATCGACAAAGGACACTGCTGAGGGGAGCAGTGGGCGGGTCAGGAGAGGTCTGTTGTGCCATGTGGGTCACCTCCCAGGGATGGAACTTACACTGAGGCAGCTGTGGCCAGCTTGCAGTGCTGTGTCTTAACCCGTTGTGCCACCACGGAGGGCCTAAACTTCTCTTTTTAAAGTAAAAAGTAACTTCTCTTATTAAAGTAAACTTTTTTTTAAAAAGATTTATTTATTTATGCATACAGAACTGGGGTACAGGCCAGAGTTGCAGGGACAGTGAGAGGATTCACCAGAGACAGAGTGGGGAGCAGAACAGGCATATCGACGAAGTACACTGCTGAGGGGAGCAGCGGGCGGATCAGGAGAGGTCTGCCGCGCCATGTGGGTCACCTCTGGGGCAGGGGGGGATTGAACTCATGCGGAAGTGGCTTTCGATTCTTAGTGCTGCGCTTTAACCTGCTGCACCACCAGGGAGGGCCCTAAAGTAAACTTTTATTGAAGTAAAACGATCTTTCACCAAGTGTGCACATTTTTTTTTTTTTTAGTATGGCTTAGGGACTTGCATAAGTTAAACAACATTCTTGTTTCCTTATCAAGAAATAGAACATTACTAGTACCCCAGAAATCTCCCTGGTTCTTTCTGCCTCTCAGTCACTCTCCACTTCCTCTGCCATATCAGGTTAACCACTCTGTCTTGATAGCATAGATTGTAACTGCTTGGTTATAAATTTACATGAAATTGCAAAATTTGATCTCTTTGTATGTGACTTCTTTCATCCAACATAATATTTGTGAACTTTATCCATGCTGTCATTTGTAGTTGTTCTTTTTTCTTATTGCTGCACAGGACTTCATTCTAGAAACGCAATTTATTTATTCACAGATATTGATGGCCATTTGGTTCTTTATGAATAGTGTTGCCATGAACTTTTGTGCATGCCTTTTGGTGAACATATGCACTTACTTCTTCTTGGTAGCTACTTAGAAGTGGAATTGCTGGATCATTTAGTATGCATATGCTCAGCTTTTTAAAAATACTACTAAATAGTTTTCCAAAGTGGTTGGTGCAATTAACACTCCTACCAAGAATGTGATAAGAATGTGCTAGGTGCACCATGTCTTTGCTAGTGCTTGGGCTTGGTTACTGTTTTTATTTTAGTTCTTCATATGGGTATATTGGGTGACTTTTAACTTATATTCTATTGGAGACTAATGAAATTGAACTTTTATGCATATGCATACTTGTGACCTAGATATCCTCTGACAGGAAGTTCCCTTCATGTTCCAAGTCCATTTTCTTTTATATTTGTTGGACTTACCTTTTCCTGTTTTCGCTCTTTCATTTTTCTTGATATGTCTTTAGTTGAATCTTGGCACTTAATTCTAGTTGTAGACCAGCTTACCAATCTTTCTATTTATTGTTAGTGTCCTTCATATCATCTTTAAGAAACACTAGCCTGTGACAAAGCCATTGTCCTTTAACTTGTAAGCCACTGATGTCATATATCAAATTGGTATAAAAGCATGGTCAGCGTCTAGGCTTTTTCTATTAAATATAAAACCTACCTATTAAATATCCCTGAACCAGTAGTACCCTGTCTTAGTATTTAGTGAAATACTAATTAGCTTCTATTAGAATGCCTGGAGCTTATATTCCTTCAATACTGTCTTCACATACTAAGCCCGTTCCTTTTCACTATTAAATTTTAGATTTAGCTAGTCTATTTTTATAAAAAGAAAAACCTGTGGTGGGGGGAGGGTTATTAAAATTATTGAATTTATGAATTTCAAACCTCTTCCCACACTCCCACCCAATTCATTCTTCCCATAAGAGGAGAGGATTCAGCTTCATAGAGCTGGAAGCTGGAACTAGCCTGGTAGTGCATCTGTTCTTTTTCCTTGGAAGCCAGATGTCCACAGAAGCACATATTCTACTTCCTATATTGTTTACCAGCTTCCTTTCACAATGGAATGTATGGATTACTGTATTTCATTCTAGTTTTAAGAACTTAATATATGGTTACTGCATTCCTAAGCCATGGTTTCCAACAACTTTATCAATAATACAACATGTATTTTGGAATTTGGCTGTCTGAATCTTATTTCTGTATTGATTAAGAATTAGGTAGAGAGAAAAAGTATTGATCCTCCAATACTTGGATACCAAAAACCTCAACATGTAACTTCAGTTTTACAATATAAATGCCTATTTGCTTATTTTTCTTTTCAAGAAGACTCTAGACTCTTAGAGATCTATTATTTCAGCTCATCACTGTTAAATGAAGTTTCATTTACCTTTAAGAAGCAATATTATACTAAAGGTTATTAGTACGTTAATGGTTCTGGCTCTACCATGCACTATTGTACAGTCTTAGGCAATTTACTTAATCTCTCTGACTGTAAAATTTATTTGTATAGTGTTAATAGTACTTACCTCATAGAGTTATTGTAAGTATTAAATAAATGAATACATATTAAAGTGATTTTACAATGACTAGTGTCTAGGAAGTTATCAATAATAGTAGCTATTATTGCTACTGTTATTTTCTCACCATTTAGAGTTGCTGTAGGCATTCTATAAACATATCAGTGCCAGTGTAGTAAATTGCATAGAGATAACCAAGTTCTCATGACTCCAATCTTTGTTCACAAACTCATTTGTTCTGCATGCTCTTGTTTCCTTATCCTGTTTGTTATCTTACATAGAGGTCTAGATTTTTATAGAGATATAACTTTTCACAAGCTCTCAATGACCCATGTATTTACTTCATATTTACATTATTGCAGTTTCATTATACCTGATATTTAAAGGGAAGATCCTAACATTTTTTAGGAAGGAGAATCAAGATCCATTACTGACTCTCCAAATATCTTCTTATAAGGGATTATTAATAGGGAAATACCAAAATGTGTGCATTTGTGTTTTCTTTTATATTATTAAATAGAACTTAATATTTATTCATGAGATTATTGGTGCTACCTGAAGATCTTAAAAATTAATCAATGGATGTGAAATATGACAGCTACATCTATGCCAAAGCTGGAACTTCATTTAGTACATTTTCCCTGTTCAGTTTTGCTAAGGAATGTTTTTTGACTGCTTATAACTGAACTCCTGACTTGTATATAGTCTTGTCTAAGGGGTATTGTGTTCTGTCTGTTACAATAAGTAATTTAAAATAAAAGTTAATACCTTTACTCTCCAGCCTGTGCATTTCAAAGTAACAGAACTTAAAACTATTTTTTAACATTTACATCAAATATAAATAAATGTAAAATAATTATTGACACATTTATTTTTTAACAGAATAAGAACTCATTCTACATTAACAGAAAATATGCTTTCTCATAAAGTAGAATTTGATAGTAGGATCATATCAAGGTAACTGTGTTTATTAAACTTTTTAATATTATTTATATGTTTTATCTTCTTTCTTAATCTTTCACCTGAAAAATGGTTTATTTACTTACTAAAACTTTTATTTAATTGAAGTACCACAGATTTACAAACATTGTATGTGATTCATAGGCAGTAATGAAATTAGATAAATTTGTCACATGTAAGTGAACACTGAATTTAGAATAAATGTTCATAGGTAACATACATTAGTCTCCTACAAAACTATATTAAATGTGAACCTTTAAGAAGAATATTTCATTTAGTGGTTGTTTTAAGTTACTTTAATATGTCTTTCTTAGAAGAGAACTTTTTAAAGGTCTCTGTGACTACCAGAGGATTCTAACCCAGTTAAATGTTAGCCTTTATGTCAGAAGCCTTATTTAATTTCTTATTCATGGCTTTAGTTAATAGATTATTGATAGATGATGAAGTGGAAAAAAAAAAGATAATCTTTGACTCTGCGATCTCCATCTTATAAACTTCTAGCAATTCCTAATGCTAGTTGATCTTCCTTATGTATATTACTGGTAAACTGTGGTTTTTTAAAAATTTTATTTGTTCAATGATTTTAAACTTTCTAGGGAAAAAGACAATAAAACTTCAATGGCTTCTTGCAGGTTCAACATTTTTTTAAAAAAAATATTTATTTATTCACACAGAACTGGGGTATAGGCCAGAGATGTGGAGGGTGAGAGGATTCACCAGAGAACGAGTGGGGAGCAGAACAGGCAGATGTATTGAAATATACTGCTGAGGGGAGCAGTGGGCCGATCAGTAGAGGTCTGCCCCGCCATGTGGATCTCCTCCGGGAAAGGCGGGGATGGAACTCCTGCGGAAGTGGCTTTAGCTACTTAGGGCAGTGCTTTAACCCGCTGCCCCACCAGGGAGGGTCAGTTTCAACATTTTTTAATGTTTCACTTTATCTTAAAATCCTCTTGAATTATTAGTATATATTGTAACAGATCCAAATTCATATCTGTGTAAAATAAAGCTGCTTTCTCCTCCAAGTTACTTCAGTGGCCACTTGAAGCAGTGCCATGTTTATCGCATGGCTTCCCATTCCCTTCCTCATTGCCACACATTTGAGAGAGTTCTGCTCTCCCTCTTCAACATATACATGCTGCTTTGCTGAGTAACTTGAAAGTTATCCTATTTGAAATTCTTTGACATTATTTTCCTTTTCTAGAAATGGCCGTGATGCTTGCAGAGAGCTGATGGGCTTCTTTTTTACTCATGACCAGTCCCTTACAATTTATGAATATCGGCAATTTGGGAAAAATAGGTATGCTATAAAACATTGCTGTAGAACTCGAGATGATATTTCGAGGGAAGCTGAATATCTGCATTTTTTGTCATTCACCTTCTAGAACAAATGTGCTTCCCTTTATTCAAAAAAATATTTATAGTCATCAACATGGACGAAGAAAAGGAAAACAATACCAACTTGGTGATTTTTACATTGTAAGTTAACTGTGTGTGTGTGTGTGTGTGTGTGTGCAAATATTTCATACTAAATATTGGATTCTGTGAGATCCCGTGAGGGTGAAGGAACAGAGTTTCTAAACTTCAGTTTATTTTGTCTTCTCATTCCTGAACAAGGGCTTTTGTGTAAGAGTTAAAGGTTGATGTTGCTCCTAGGAAGTTCTGCCTCCAAGCCCAGAGCAGTGGTCTGAATCTAAACATAGCATTTATTCCCTGTAACACTGCTCTGCCCCATTCATCCATCCAAGTCCAATCTCTTGGTTCTTTCAAAGGCTGCACAAGGCTGTACCATAGAATGAGTGACTTTTGCAAGAGCTCCTGGAGTCATGTTCAACCTAAAGCCGTTTTATCTTTCAGGACCCAGTTTTCTCCATCTGGAGATGTACTTGGCCTCTGCAGCTGTCCTATATCTTACAGTTAGCTTGTTGTGCTTGTGATTTCCTATCTTACACAACTCTGGCATTGGTGAAGCATAAGGATTCCCTAGAATGGGTCAGTGGTATATAATGTTTACATTTTAGTGTTTTGAAAATTTTTTTTAAAGATTTATTTATTTTTTTGTGCAGAAGTGGGGTACAGGCCAGAGATGTGAAAGGTGAGAGGATTCACCAGAGACAGAGTGGGGTGCAGAACAGGCAGATCAACGAAGTACACTGCTGAGGGGAGCAGTGGGTGGGTCAGGAGAGGTCTGCCTTGCCATGTGGATCTCCTCTGGGGCAGGCAGGGATCGAACTCATGTGGAAGTAACTTTAGCTTCTTTGTGCTGTGCTTTAACCGCTGCGCCACCAGGGAGCGCCTGAAATTTTAAATCATTATAGTCACATTTCATCTCATGATGAAAATGCAAGCACTATTTACAGTGATCATTTATATAACATATATATATATGTATATATATATTCATAGACTAAGTATTAGCAACAGATTAGTGAGTTAGCTAGACCATGTCCCTGCTATTGTGGGCTTTGCAGTCTATCTACAGTAAGATCAGAAGAGCAAGGAGAGAGGCAATGATTCAGTTTCTTGGGGTCAAGGAGATTTCCTGGATAAAGTGTCATTTAACCTTGACCTCGAGGGGGAGTTTAGTTGAGCTGGGAAAGAGAAATAAAACATGGCAGGGAAAAGGCTTCCAGGAGTAGAAAACAGCTCATGTGAAGAACAAATGCTTGAAAAAACACGGCTAATTTAGGGACGTGAAAGGAGTTCAGTTTGGTTAGAGTATAGATTTCAAGGTCAGAACTGGCAAGAATGAGTCAGAATTTATTAAGAGTAGCCTTATGTTAACGAGTTATCTAAAATGTACTAGCAAGTCACTGAAATACTAGATGTGGACAGGATGAGGTGAAGTGACATTATCAATCATTTTGAAGGCTCTTTCTGGTTATAAAGGGGAAGATTGAAGACTAGGACAAAAGGCCTAGGTTAAACTGAATTGCATTCATCTGGGAAAGGTGTGCTAACTGCATTTGGCAAGGATAGTGGCTATGAAGTTAATTAGAAAAATTTTACAGGGGCAGAGTCAATAAGATGTAGTAGGAAATTGGGTGAGGAATTGAGGTGAGGATGAACTTTACTTCTTAAACTTGGGTTAAATGAACCATTTATATGTCACCCAAGTCTCCATCCTGAGAGCTAGAGAAAATTTACTTTTACTTCACAACCTGCAAAAAACCTATTTAATACTTACACTAAGATTCAAGTTACTTCTCACTCTGAAACTGCTATTTCCAAAAAGTTGTTCTATATTTCTGCTCCCTTCTGTGATTTCCACAAAACAATAGAAAGGGAGAGTGAACATGAAAGAGAAAGTCACAAATCATTGTGAGGCATTCTTATTTTGAAAAATATGTCCCTTGAATAGTTCCCTAGGTAAACAGCCTCTTCATTATCTGATTCCTTCCATTTCTTGCTCCTCCCCATAAATTCTCATATGTTTGTGCAGAAATACTCACTCTTAACCTTTTTGAGGAAGCAAGAGAGGGAGTCTTCTACCTTCTTGGTGTTACTCTAAAACTTACTTTTTATTTTTGTATGTCCCATCATGTTCTTTTCCTGAACATTTTCTAAAAGAAACTTTTGTGCCAGCTGTTTAGATAATAGTCGTACAAGCATGAGCATGGCCATGTGTCCATAGACACATATAAAGTGCATACATGTATGTTCACTCTTTTCCCTTTTGAGTGAACATACATGGGTGCACTTTATATGTGTCTATGGACACATGGCCATGCTTGTACGACTATATATGCTTATGTAACACACACACACATACACATACACATATACACACACATTCTGTGACATAGACCACAGATAGGCCTTTAACAATATATGTGTACATATGTGCTTATATAGACAACCCTGCTACAAACATCACATGGTCTCTTTAATTTCTTAATAATTACAAAATTATACATATGTTCATTTTAAAAGAGGTTGAAATACTTACAGTTACAAGTTTTCTAATATAAGTACTTGAGGAAAAAGGAGAGAAAAATCTATTTCAACAGAGATAATTAAGCCTCATATTTTAAACTCGTGTTTGCCTATATTTGACTTATATTTATTTGAAAATCTCAGAAATAAAAGTAGTAACAATTTTCTAAGTTTGGTGAAAGATGTTTGATAGAAATTTTTTCATGGAAGCCTAATTAGGTTAAAAATAGGTTTTACATGTATGTGATATTTGTGCTAAAAGATCAGGTGAGTGTGGTGAATTGAACCTATTTGATCAATTTGCAGAACATCTTGCTGTGGATAGGAGCTCTGTTCTGTGTTTGAGGATATCATATTGTCCATTGAAATAATGGGCCCTTTCTTCCTCTGATTCTTAGAAAAAAATTAGAAGTTATTTTTTTCCCACATGCATGGTTGAGTAGAAGATTGTTCCATTGAGAAGCTGACTGGGAAATTAGTCCCTTTATTTTTCTATATACTAGATGAACCCTATATCATTCTCTAAAAATATATTTTTATCATGGTAAAAGTATACCATGTAACATATAATCAAAATTAAGTATTTAAAATTGCTGTCAGTTGTATTTTATATCTTACAAACTTTTAAACCTTAATTCATCTGTTAATTTCTTTAGGGTGCAAATTTGACATTTTTGACTTCTGAGCACCCCAGACTTCCAGAAAGCATAAAAGAAAGCACATTACTTACACTTCGGATCACAGATATTGATCAGACAGCTTTGGATTCTCTCAAGTGAGTCAAGCATGCACTTGTAATTTTGAAAGCAAAAACATTGTTTTTTATTATCTTAAAATGATATTCTACTCTAAAGCATTTGAATTTTATTTTTTTTAGTTTTCTACATTATCTTTTCATTTGTTTTAAATATTTTATTTTAAAACTTTAAAAAAAATAAAGCACAGCTATATTTACACTTTTTATGTGCCATGTTGTACTCATTTACATTCCTTGTATGAAAAGTTACAATCAAGGAAAAGTGAAGGCTGTCACGTTTTATATTATTTAAAGAACTTTATTCATTTGCTTATGCTGTTACATTTTTATTTTACCACATGCCACCAAGTAACATTTCATTTATTTTTTTTTCTATAAATTTATTTTACTTATTTTGAGATAACATTGCTTGACGGTACTGTAATGATTTAGAGGTATAGGAGCATCTCCTTCAAGTGTTTTTACCATACCACATCCACCACACATAGTCCTCCATGGTAGTCTGTTGTGCTTCCTGCCCTCATTGTTCTATGCCACCTCCTCCTTCCCCTCTGGTAGTCTGAAGTCTACCGTCAGCTTTCTGAGGTCTGTTATTGATTTTATTTTATTTGACCCTTTGTTTTGTGTCTCTGTATTACACATATAAGTAGTGATATCATCTCATATTTGACTTTCTACTTCTAACACTTTTTTTTT